ATTTATTGCACTTAATATTATTGTTTCAAGGTGCACCCATTTTTCTACAAATTACTCAAGTTTATTCATTTTCATGGTAGAATAGCATTCCTTGTGTGTAAGTATCACATTTTCTTTACCCACTCACCTGTTGATAGAGATTTAGGCCTCTTTCAAGATTTAGCTATTATGAATTGTGCTGCTATAAACACAGGTATGCATGGATCACTGTAATAAGGTATCTTCTTAGAAGATTTACATCAAAGCAAATTGCAAGGACACAACAAGCCGGCTCTCGTGCTCTTGCCCTCTGCTCTCGTCCATGCTGCCTGCGGTTGTTGCTGATGTCTTGCACCTATGCATTCTTTAACCTGGCGACCTCAGCCACAAAGATCTCCTCTGGGCTCCCTGAGCAGGCCAACATGCAGGTTACCTCATTTTTATACTCTTGACACCTGATGTGTAAGCTGATCTCTCTACATTACACAGGAGGCACCTAAGGTTTAAAAGAGTATGAAATTTCTCAAAAGTTATGGTGCTGGTAGGTGAAGAAGCCAAGACAGAAAAAGACCCACTCCAACCACTGTCTAGGCTGCCTCAGGGTGAGTTTGCTGTCACTGGCAGGAAGAACTGGTAGAGACAGACAAAAGAACTAAGCACAGTGCTGAGGAATCTGTGCAGCTGGTGCTGACAGCCACAGGAGTGGTGTAAAAGACTTCTGCCCAGTGACTTCCATACCACACCTGAAATCATCTACATGTTCTAAAGTATTAATTGCTTGTTATAAATCAGGCACCGTATAGCGAAGGACATAGAGCTGTTGGTGTCATGTGGTGTAAGACCTCTGCCACGGCACCCTCCTGCTAAAATAGAATTCTTGCCTTCCTGTAGCTTTACTAGCCAGTGGTGGCTTCAGTGGACTGTTTGTTATCATTGAAAGCTCTGAAGGGCTCACCATCACCGTGTCTAGGTCCTATATATGTACCACATGATACATCTCTCCTCTGTTCTTTCTATTCTTCCGCCTTTTGTCTTACCTCTGGCTGGCCCCGGCCTCTCCCAGGTTTGCGTGTCACATTTCTGTGTGAATAGTTTGAGTAGAATTGAGTAATGAATCTGTGGGTCCAGATTGCTTCTGCCTTGATGGAATCTTCCATTAAAAAAAGGTAATAATTATGCTATGACTGCTTTGATATCAAGATGACTACATTAATATTATATATTAGCATTTGTCTTTTACCTAAGAAGTTTTTCCTTCTGTTTTAAAAATAAAACATTTATACAGACTCCTAAATGTACTATGGGCCCTAGTTTCCATATCCACTAATAGATATTGATTGTGAGTCTAGGCACCATCTGGCCCAAAGATGTTGTTGACCAGAAAACCAGACAAAATTAGGTGAGATATACTTTCTTCGGTTTATCATAATCTGTTTATTTGTGACTTTTCTGGGAGTTTAAAACTTCTGCCCTTTTGCTTTGACTGAGTAATCATCACTCATTTGTCACTTGGTAATTGCTTAATTATATTATTTGGTGATAAGTGAAGTTTTTAAATGACAAACTCTTCCAAACAGCTGTGACTGGATTGGTTGTTATTTTATTTAATTTACAATTGCATTTGTAAAACCATAATTAGCCCAATTTATCTAATGACCCCCATCACAGGCAGTAGAATATTTTTCAAGAGTGTTTTTAATTACACACAAATCAACAACATAATTTTAGAAGGGTTCAAGTGAAGTGGCATTCCTATAATTTCTACCACCAGTTCTAGGCCAAGGATTTAGTAATGTTCCTCTCCTACAGTAAAAAAGGTTCTTAATGAAACAAAATGTTTTTCCAAAAGGTTGAATTCATCTCATAATTTAGAGATATATCTTTTTCTTAAGAAGTTTTGGAATCTAGTTTTGACCTTTTCTATTCTGTGCCCAAGATAATATATTTCTTCGGATAAAGTTAATGATGTTATAACTGATCCTGAACAAAAGGTTAAGTTCTTATAAGCACCACAATTAAATTTTTAGTTAATCTGTAAAAAGTAGCTTTATCTCCATTTTGTTTTCCCTTATAATTTAAATGTCTCTCTTAATTAGCTGTAGCTTAGAGGGATCCTGTGTTTTGTTTTGTTTTGTTTTACTCTTTTAGGGGGACCATGGTGGTGACATTTGGAAGAATTAATTTTTGTACTTGGTGAAGCCCAGAGTTCTGAAAAGTCTGGATGGTGTGATGAAAAGTTTGTGTGTTGAGCGAAGCGTCCAACTGGCCAATCCTCTGTGTCTCGGGAAATGTCTAGAAGCTTGGCAAGAAGCTGTCCTCAAGAGAGCGTGAATGCTGCCAATTTCCAATTGGCCAAGACACATTACAAGGACAGTCTTCTCCCTGAGCAACCTGGCATTTCCATTCCAATTGGACTCTGCAATGTGAAGATGCACAGGGGAGGAAGATTAAACAAATCTTTTCGGATTTCTGTTCCAGGTGAATCTTTCATCTTATCTGGTCTGTTTTGATCTTCTTTTGACCACTGCCCACTTTAAACATTAGGGGACTGTGGGCACGTTACAGGTGAGTTTTCAGAACTGATGAATGGTCAGGGCAGATGCAAGATGAGCAAACTGACCTATTTTTATACATATGTACAAAACACCGAACCTGCCGGAGCAGTCACGTTGCTGCTAGTAAAGTTTTAGATCTGCTGTGTGAGAAAACCTGCCTGACACGCTGGCCCTTGCTCAAGCAGCTCCCACCCGGTGCATGCTTGGGAAATAGTGACAGCTGTGCTGTTTGCCCGGCTGTTCCACGTGTGGAAACATGGGGTAGAGAGCAGCCACCCCACAGGTCCCTTTACTGTGAATCTTCCTTTCTAGCCGCAGCCAAGAGTAAAAGCCCCAACAGAACTGAACGCAGTCATTCAGAGCCTTCCTCAAGTAGGTTGAATCTGCTTTTTGCTGAGAAGATCTCAGGAAATTAAAAAAGACGATATTGGCTCAATTGAAGTTTATAAACAGTATTTTTGTTCTTAAAATAATACTCATTTTATGTTATTTTAACACAGCCACTGGTGACAGTTTAGGTATCAAGATAAAAATATCCAATTACAGCAAGTGAGATTTGCCTCTTTAAATTCAGTACTGAGGTGAGGCTGGGGAGGCATAAGAAGACTAGAGCCCACACATGCCCCTTTGCCAGATCTGGCCTTATTCTACCTTTTAAGCACTGCCAACTGTCATCTCTGAAAACAAAGGCTTGCAGTAGATGACTTGAAATGTTTTTCTTTCTTTCCATAATGGATTAACTCATCAGAGCCTGTAGAACGCTAGTCTCTTTTACCATGCGTGTCCATCCCTACATATCTCAGAGTACTTCTGAGCACTAGCTCCTGTCCTGTTTTATCAGAGTGGTCTCTTGCCTGTCTCATTCACAAAACACAGAAGGGAAGGCAAGAAGACTCCAGAACAAGCTCAGCCACACCGCATGTTCTCCTCTGTCCACGTTCCCATGGTCCGAAAGCTATCCTTTGAACACTTCCCTCTCCCCTGCTTTTTACTTTCTACTATAATTTCATTATAGGAATCCCTAGGCCTCCAGAGAAATTCCATTCTAAAGGGTTTAAGCAGGTGGAGCTTTCTATTGGATGACTGGAGATTGGAGACTTTGAGTATTTCTCTAGTAGATTCCATTGCTCTACTGCTAGATATATAATGCTACTGTTTTTTTTATGGAATGACTTGAGCAGAACTCTTTTCACATGAAATAAATAATGAGTGACTAAGTAAAAAAAAAATCCCTGGGGACAGGTGCCTACCCACTCTTATGCTTTCAAGGAGCACCAGGAGGCATTCTGAGGTTCTTCCATAGTATTTTATTACACTTTAATGCTGATTTCCATCAGCACATATTTTTACACCCTTCCTGGGTGGAAACTGACTCCGTTCTCTCCCCTCTAGCCTCGTGGTGAAAAGGGCAAGAGAAACACCGTGGCTGAGAAGTAGCAAGTTCAGAAATGCCAGAGGATGCCAAAGGATGCAGGGGTCTTCTTTGGGTAGCAGTTCCAGCATACCAAGCTGTTACAGAGTCAACTTACAGAGTCAAGTTACCACCCAGTGTCTCAGGCCTCAGCAGTCAACTTGGAGAGATGGTGAGCTCAGTAGAGACCATGAGCAATGAGTGAGAAATGCTTTGCTGGACACACCACAAGGGGAGCGGGAATGTGAAAAGAGCACCTGGCCCTTAGGGGGTTAGAAGAGGTGGTGCTGTAAACTGAAAGTTAAATTATTAGCACAGTGAAGGAAGTAAAGAAGGCAGGAGCAGAGAGAAGACGGAGAAGAGCAGTTTGAAGAAATAGACTTGAAGCCTGAGAAACTAAAAGTAAATTAGCAAGTTTCTCATTATATCCCAATCAAAAATTTTCTATATACTTTTTCCATTTGTTAGATAATCTTTAGAGATGAAGATTAACTTCCCAGCATGATAGACATCTGCATGATTTTGTGATCAGTTCTGGACGTTATACTTTAGGAGGGAGTATACTTTATACTCTCTCTGTGGCTTTTGCTCAGAAGAAAGAAAGTTTATGAGTGAACATAGAGTTGAGTCATAAAGTAAATGCTTGAAGGAGATGGTACTGCTGGCCAGAAGTGACAGCTCACGGGGCTTCGAACCTTTGAAGGATTATTGTTTGGAAGATGGATTAGTCCAGATTTGACAAGTCCCCATGGCCTTACTGCATCCCCTCTCAGACGTCAATAATTAATCAAGGTCTTTGTTCCTTTTGAGCACCAGGTGCAGCTTCTCAACTGACCCCCTTCTGATGGTGTTCTCAGCAGGCATCTCCAGGCAGAGGAAAGTTCCTCATAATTCTTAGATGAGACAATCTGTGTGCGCTCTCTAAGGCTGAACTGAGACCAGTGGGTGAAAGATGTGGGGATTCAGCTTTAAAAATTCAGCGTCGATCACTGAGAGAGTAGGTTGTTCCTAAAGGTAGTGAATTACCTAACATGACAGATTTTTAGAGACATACATTATTTAATATATCAAAACTTTAATATATTCATGTTTGTGATGGCTCCACACTCTCCTCCTAGCCTCATGGTGAACAGGGCTAGAGACTGTCTTGAGAAGCAGCAGGGTCAGAAGTGTCCAGGCAGAGGGATGACAGGGTCTTCAAGTCACAGTGACAGTATTCTGGTTGATCTCCAAAGCACGAGGTGCCTCAAGGAGACTGGAGCCCAAGCAAAGGGTTTCCAGTCTTGCGGCTGTGTTCCACGTTGGCCACAGAAGGCAAGAGGACCACTTTTGCAGGGATCACTGGTGGCTTGAAAAATTGGCATGTTAAGGGCAACCGTGACAGGCTGAAAAGAAGGAGCTTCTACCCCTTAAAATTCTTGAACTCTAAAGGAACCGTGAGAGAGAAGAGGGGCTTTAGTGACAGTGACATAGAATTTGTGTCAGCCCCACAGGCATGACCCTTGCAGTCAAATTTCACTTTGCTGAGATGAAAAGAGAAGACAACAAGATTTCTTGTACATATGCTTGTGCTTGGAAGCTGAGGGTTAAATGTGTTATGATGTAATGAATGCTGACTGGCTAGGAAGTCACTGAGGGTATCCAAATATCGCAGCCAGGTTGGACTGATTCAGCTATAAATTCTTTCCTAGTTCTGTGATGTTACGTGTAACTTTTTGACTCAGAAATCAGTACTCAGAAGTTTTCTTTACTCTTATTTAGGTAGAACAATTCTAATTCTTTCCACTCTATCCCATATCTCTTTTACTTACACTTTAGCCACGCCTGTAAACTTTTCCAATAACACTCATTTCTTTTAAATGTGACTCCTCACATCTAACACTGTAGGCCAAGCGTGGTCTTAGCCTAACTGCTGTGAAATGCAGCAGGTAGCAGCACCTGCTCAGGGACAGGTTCACCATGAAGTTACGGATGTTTCACCTTGGGGCTCCCCTCGCCCTCTCTAGGTCTTTTCTAAACCTCTAGGAGCGATGTTGTTACATCGAGAAAATTAAAAAAAAAACAACTGCAAAGACTCCCAGTTAAATTTAAATATTAGATTTTCAGAAGAACGTCTGTCTAGTAATTTTGCATGGAATATACTTATATGCAAAATTATATTCATTGTTCATTTGAAATTTAAATCTACTGGGAGTCTTATATTTTATATGGCAATTCCGCGTAGGAGATGCCCTGGCCACAGTGCATGACTGATTCTGTTTTCTCCTTCTCCGAGGGCTGGTCCACACTGGCTAAGCTCTAGGCCCCGTAATGCCAGGATTCCCTCACCTGCGGCTCCCTTTGGTGCCTCGATTGATGTCAAGCACTCAGGTTGCCATTCCTAAAGCCACTGTGGGTGTTGCTGTGATTTCGTTAGAAATGAGCCTGGCTAGAGAAGGGCCACAGCGTTTCGCGGCCCTTGCTGACATAAAATGCTTATGATGAACCGAGACCAGCAGCTCTTATTTTTGCCTCACCTGTGTTTAATTGCTTTTTCCTGTGTTGAAAATTGCATTTGCATCAGGCCCTCTCCATTCATAGCATTTTAATTAATCCACGGCACGTTCTGAGCTCTATTCTGTAGCTGCTGGTTTTCCTATCAGTAGATAAAGGGGATGTGTGTAACTCTGAGTCAGAAACAGGTTCTCTTATTTGTTCAGAATCCTGTGACTATCATTGGACCACTCAAAAAAGGGAACTGTAAAAGGAAGAAATTTTTTCTAAGCCCATTCATCTGCTTTCTTTTACAGTTCAGTATTTGTTTTCATGAGTTGTGGGTAATCAGAAATGTCTCTTTATCCTCCTGTATTTAAACCCACAGATGAACCCTACATCCACCCATTTCACCTTGGGCAGTGCCTTGCTGGATGTCCATTCCTGTCAGCTGACATCTCTTTGGGTGCTTGCCACAGAGAACTGTTTGTCATAAAGATGCACTGGGACTTAAGAGTGTATACTAGATACCCTCCTGCCCTCATCTACTGTTCCCATCAAAACCTAATAAAGCCCCTGTACATTTGATAGGGCACTCTCAACTCTTAAAGTGAGGATGGTCCTGCTCTGCAGCACTGGGACATAAAATGACCTTATGGAAAAGAGGTGCTTAAGAAAAGAATATTTTCTTATCAGTTTCTTAAAGTTGCTTTGGCAAGCAAGTAGGAATTAGGCTTGTAATATTTCTTGTATACTATGCTCGAAATTGTTAATGCAAAATCAAGTTTCTCACTATCATTTTAAACACCATGTGAAAAGTACAAGAGTTAGTTATATTAATGGTTCAGAGAATACAATTTGTCCCCATAGAAGCTGTGCTGTTCATCACAGATAATTCTTTGTTTCTTTGTTTTTTTTTCCAGTACCGGGAATCGAACTCATGACCTTGTGCTTGCCAGGCAGGCTCTGTGCCGCTGAGCTAAATCCCCAGCCCCCTATCACAGATAATTCTTACCCTGTGCTTGATTTAACCTCAAATGACTTTTGTTTCCTAACCGATGTCCTAGCCCCCGGATGTCACTCACTGCCTTTGTTTCTGTACACCAGGTCTACACACTGGTGGGACGCTCTAGAGCTAGTAGTCACTTCTTTCCCGCACGCTCTCGGCTGTAGTTAACCCTACTATTAAACCCTGAGCAGCCAGTGTTTTATTCACCAAATAAAGCCCAAAGTAAGCCGTAGAGAAAGCTACGCATTGCCTCTCTTTCCAAGACACAAGAACTATTCTATGTGGGTTTAATAGTGACAGCACATGTAGTGAAAGACAATGTCACAGTATGAGGACATGTCTAGATACACACTAAAAATTAACACTTTATCTTGTATTGTCCAGAGGGAGATAGGGTACTAAATGCTTGCTGGTATTCAGGACTTTGACTAATAATATTTATTATGGTGGCTAACATAATTAACACACATAACATAACATAAACACATTAAAGGTTTCTATGTGCCAAGCTCTGAAATATAGGATTCCCTTTCCCTGAATCGTCTCATTAAATCCTCACCAGCCAATGAAGTGATGTCATTTTCTCCATTAAACAAATGCATTACCTAGTGGCTAAAGAACTTCCTAGTCATAAAACCAGTTTATTGTAGAAAGTGACAGTGAAAAGTCAAAAGAGCTTTGGTGGTTTCTGGATTCCAGCATCGTCTGTCTTACTCAAATCTTAAACCAACCGCTAGTCTACCTGTATTTGAATCTTGGATCCACAACGCATTTAGGCTCCTTCTCCTTCTTCATGAAAAACATTCCAATAGCAGTATCTGGAGGCAGAAACAAGCGACAATTAAGTGGATAAAATAGCATTAACACTTATGCATGCTTATCACGTGGCATTCACTGCTGCTGAGTTCACTGAATGCATCTCATCGTTTAAACCTGAGCACAGATCTCTAAAGCTGAGGAGGCCAAGACACACAGACAATAAACTTCCCCGAGGATATGTAGAGAGTGTGTGATAGAGCTGTGCCGTGACCCGGGCACTCTGTACTTGTATCCACCTGTATTGCGCTGTTCTTAGCAATGCAACCCAAGCTCCTGGCACAGTGGCCTGTCACATGACAGGCAATCAATGAGGATTCATCATTTAAAAATACAATTCTGTGCAACTATGCTAGGTCCTTTGCATACACTATTTTCAAAAGTTCTCGTGACTTCCCGGTCAGGTAATAATGAACCCAATTTTACATTGTGAACATTACATTAAAAATTAAAGACTTTGCCCAAGTTTACCCAGTGTCATATTCCAAGTGTGTGTCTATATTGGGACGCAAACTCTACCTTCATTGAACCCCAAAATCTGTAGCTCTGACCAATCTATTATACTCCCTTAGACATTTTTAGGAGCAATAGTCCCAGGCAGTAGCATATCTGTTATTACATTTTCTGTACCTCTCAAATGCCTTCCAAGTAGTCTTTTGGATAGTTGTTTAGGTTTTGCTTCATGAAAAATCAATTTCATGATTGTGTTTTACTCTTTTTTTCTCCTGTTTCAACCTATAATGGCTCCAATCTCACTGAGAATATCTCGATACTGCAGGGCCCATTTCTGCATTTGAGAGCTCCACTGCACCTCGTGTTGACATGATATATCAGACAATCAGTCACAGCAAGATGCTAAATGCCAGATGCTACTGTGTTAGCTAGGATCATCCTTTGAACATCTGTCTCTCGTCCTGGAAGGCGAAATGCCCTAATGTGCAAAGCATCTGGGCTGCTAATTAGTCACCAGGAGTGATCCAAAGAAACAGTTACCCCAAAGAAATGCTGTATTCCATAAGCTCAATGATATTTTCAATTGTTGGAAATGGGGTGGGGCGTGTAGTCTAAGGAAGAATTTACTTGGTTCACTTCTCTTACCTTTCTTAGTCCCTGTGGCTATGTGGATTTTCCTAGGACTGTCCTCATTTTTTTTGATTAACCAAGTGAAGATTATTTAGAAAAAGCTTGACCTTAGGAAGTCACTGCATTACATAGTGTAGAGACTGTTAGCATAGCATCACTGCCCTTAAGGAGCTACAACTGTACACAGGTTGACCTACACATCTTTGAACATTTGAAATTATTTTGATTTATTAGTTTATTCATTAAAATTTTTGGTATCAAGTGATTGGTATAACTTTACATTTAAATGTAATCATAATAACTCTAAAGTACTTTCTAAAAAATTTTGCTTTTAATACAGCTGGCCTAGGGGTTAACCAGGGAAAATATCTTGTATTAACTTCCAATTGGTGCTATGACAAATTATCACAAACCTAATGGGATAAACAGTACAAATGTATTTTGCTGTAGTTCTAGAGGTCAAAAGTCCAAAACGAGTTTCACTGAACCAGAATTAAGAGGTTGGCCTGGCCACAGAGCTGCTGACATCTTAGTGGGGAATCTGTTCTCCTGTCCTTTCCAGCGTTCAGAGGCATACGGCATCGCTATGCTCATGGCCTCTTCTATTTAACAGCACAGCAGCTTCAAATCCCTGACAAATTTCTCTTTGTCTTCGGCCCTGTTTTGCCCATTATTCATTCCTCTACATAACTCTAAATTACAGATGAAAGGCTTAAGTACCACAGAACATAAGGGTTGTGCCTGAGTTCCCAGTGGGGGTCTGACCTGCATCAAATCCAGATCTGTGGGCTTCTTGGCCAGTGCCATTTCTACCTGTACAGGTAAGTGCTAACCCTAGTGTCACATTCAAGATTAAGAGTCCTTGGATGGGACTGTGCAGAAATTGCACTTGAACTGTTGACAAAGAATTAAAAGTTTCAATGGTTATTTTCAGAATATACTATAGTCTAGCTTCACGGCCTTGAGGAAATCACCTTTTAAGTTTGACCTTAGTTACTTGAGCACTGAAAGAGGACTATTATACAAGTCCAAAATGAAATTAGCTAATGACTAACTGAAGGATCCTAACAAGCCACATGAGCACCAAGAGCGACAGAAGGCATGAGTGGTGCTTGTGTTAAGAGCTGACAGGCAGGCCGTAGGTGTGGGTGTGCAATCAAACACGGACGGGACACAGTTATTGCAGCTGGCCCCAAACTCTTTCTGTGCATGTCAAAACACTTAAAAGTTACCTTCTTTTCAGTGATAGCATTTAAAATGTGAAGCCCTTATGCCTTCGTTAGCACCAACTATATAAAAGAAAAAATACAACATTTCAGCTATTTTAGCCCTTCCTGCATTTCTTGTACTTTTTCATTTGCTCTTAAAACTCTCAGTGCCTTTATCTTTAATTAATAATGTATGAAATAAGTCAGCAATTTCGTACAATGCATTGTTAAACCTACTGTTTATTGAGGAAAGGCTAAAAAAAGTAAGGTATGAAATCTCCTCAAATCCCAATAATGGCAAGTGGTCCTATATTTTAAGGAGGGTTAGAAAAACTGTCTTCACAGTTCTGTACCTCTAAAGAGATAGGGGATTTTTTAATGCTCTAGGTAATTTACTCATGATGGGAATTCAGGGCTACCCAGTGTGACTTGAAATACAGGCAGTAGGAAAGTTTGAAAATGTAAACTTGACACATTTCTATTGCCATATCATATATTGCAATATAAGGTATAAATGATTATTGAAGAGCTCATATTTTCTGTAGAAAGTTTCTTATGTGCAAAAAAAGGAGGTCTGTTACAGAGATTGGTACATCAAAACCTGTATATTCAGGCACACATAATCCCATCCAGCTCAGCCCTCCCTTCTTCCATTGTCCATGGGACTTGGGGGAATAAGTTGGGATCTTCTGACTTAATACCTCTTATCTATAAATAAAAGATTGTGTAAGATTTAAGGAACTTGCTATATGATGCTGACCATACAACCTCTTCATTAAAGTTGGTAGCTATACAAATACAGACTTTTGTGAAAAATTTTACTTCTCTGTGTACAATAGTTCACCATAGCTTTGATATTACCTCATGGGCAGTAGTGAGGAATCTATGGTATGTGAAATAAAGTAGAGGGGCTTCTAGATCCTCTGACTAGTATCACAGTTAGAAGGTTAGAACAACCTTTTAAGTGATTCATGGTAACAGGGAACAAAGCAGAAAATCCTCAAAATTTCCTAAAGTGTGTTTTCTATAAGATGAATTTCCACAGATGTATAGGTTATGATGTTGGTGTTTTACAAATAACAGAAACTCTATTACCTTGCTATTCAATGTATGATTAAGCAACCAGTATCAGCATTTCTTGGGAGCTGATAGGGCCATAGGCTAGAACTACTGCATCAAACTTTGTGTCTTAATGAATCCCCAGGTGGGATATATACAGTTTGAAGTTAGGGAAGTACTTAACTGATTACTACACTGTTGTAAACAAAAGCTTTTTTTATTTATTTAATGCAATAAAACAATGTAGGAGTTGGTAGCTTGATATTAGTGTGGTGCTTCAGTTATTCAATTGGACACTCAGGCTTTTGCCATTGTTCTGCCCCATCTTTACGCATGTAGGGCTTTACTTTAATTCACTGACCTTAGAATCCTAAAG